AAGAAACACCTCGTCTTGGTGGATCCTGATAAAAAAAGAAACACCTCGTCTTGGTGGATCCTGATAAAAAAGAAACACTTCGTCTTGGTGGATCCTGATAAAAAAGAAACACTTCGTCTTGGTGGATCCTGATAAAAAAGAAACACTTAGTCTTGGTGGATCCTGATAAAAAAGAAACACTTCGTCTTGGTGGTTCCTGATAAAAGAAGAAACACTTCGTCTTGGTGGACCCTGATAAAAAGAAACACTTCGTCTTGGTGGATCCTGATAAAAAAGAAACACTTCGTCTTGGTGGATCCTGATAAAAGAAGAAACACTTCGTCTTGGTGGACCCTGATAAAAAAGAAACACTTCGTCTTGGAGGACTCTGATTAAAAAAAAGAACAAACACTTCGTCTTGGAGGACTCTGATAAAAAAAAAGAACAAACACTTCGTCTTGGAGGACTCTGATAAAAAAAAGAACAAACACTTCGTCTTGGAGGACTCTGATAAAAAAAAAAGAACAAACACTTCGTCTTGGAGGATACTGATTAAAAAAAAGAGTATCTTTAACTTTGAAATAATAGTAAATGTTGCTGTATTAGGCTTATAGAAAACGAATCTAGTGATATTTGTTTTTTGTCGGAACGAGATAGAAGTATAGAAACAATCTCTCCGATATTACTGCAGTAAAAGACTCAAGAAATAGATTCGCGATCTTAGGTTATTACTCGAACGTTCTTTATTAACTCCTAAATTAACGACTTGTTTTTATATGGTTTTTCACCATCGGTGACGTCAATATATTGCATCATAATGGGCAGTTTTACATTTCTTCATGTAAAAACGCTCGGTGTAAAGAACTAGCCAAAACAATTGGCTGAAATCACCCATTATCTATGTAAAATACATAGGTGACCCCCAACAGTAATTAGTGAGATTAATTGCAATATTGACGTTTTTTGTGTGTGTGTGATTGGGGTCATTGGTTAATTTAACTTTGTAAGTTTTATATTCAAATACAACAAGAAATGACTAAGTGTTATGCTGTTAGGGCAAAGTGACATTAGACAATCTGCTGTTTCCACCGCTGGGATGGAATCCCGGATTTTAGCAAGTCCGTAGACTTACCGCCGTCACACTTGAACATATTTGTTGTTCCTCAGTGTTATTAATAACTAAGAAAATAACAATAACGTCAATCCATTCGTATGGGAAATTTACATTTTAGATTTCTTTTTTCGACAGGAATTTATAAATTATAAGATGTATGAAGAAGTTAAAATTACATAATGGTGTCAGAGTCATAGGCGGGGATTATGGGGAGGGGAGCAAGATGGAACAGTTTCCCTTCACATTAATAGGTGAGATTAGTGGGGAGGGAGCAAGATGGAACAGTTTCCCTTCAC